CCCACCACCATGGCTTTGTCCGGAAGGATGTCCAGAAGGTCTCCCGGTTTAATTAGCATATTACCCTTTTATTAGTATAGATACAGAACTACAGTAGTTCCCTTTCCTCATTAAGCCCTATTTTCCCCATTTCATTATCACTATAACATCACTATGATATCAGACTCAAAATTATGAAGTAATTTGTTTGCTTATTCTTTCAGCATACATTTGTCATATTGTATTTCTTTTTCTATATGTAGCTATGATAAAATGGAATTTATGTATTTGGGACAGTAAGAGGTTAACAACAGTAACTAATGCTACAGAACAGTAATAACAATATGTTGTAATAAAAGTTACGTGAATGTGGTCTCTCTCTGATAATAGAGACAGCTACTAACTGTCAGGTAGATAGCATATACAGCGGGGGTGCTGGACAAAACGGTCATTCACGTCCCATTGGGACGTAGTGGATGGTGTGAGGTTTCATCATGCTACTTAGTACAGCATGCAATTTAAAACTTATGAATTTTTTATTTCTGGAATTTTTCATTTAATATTTTTGAACTGCAGTTAACCATGGATAACTGAAAGCATGGAAAGCTAAATGGTGGATAATGGGGGGACTAATGCATTAGCATCTTACTGTTTATTATTATAATATATGTCATACTATTTAGTACCCAATTATATCAGAATGTGATACTAAAAAAACCCCTGTTTTTCAGTAGTTGCTTCTGACCATCCCTTTTCTTCTTATTAGATTTAAAGCTCCTTGTGAGTAAAGTGCTCCTGAGCCATACGGAATGACTCAGATGATCCTTAGAAGTAATACATGCTGAGTGTATATTGTGCTTTCTATAGAATAAGGTTTTTTTAAAATTTTATTGGGATGACATTGGTTAATAAAATTACGTAAGTTTCAGGTGTCCAATTTTATGATACATCATCTGAATGGTATATTGTATTGTGTGTTTACTACCAAAGTCAAGTCTCCTTTCATCGCCATTTATCCACCCTTTACCTTTTCCTTCCCTCCCACCCCCCTTTTCCTCTGGTAATCACCATACTGTTCCTATGAGTTTTGTTTTGTTTTTTGCTTAATCCCTTCACTTTTCCACCCAGGCCCACCCCCCTCCTCTCTAACAGCTGTCAGTTTGTTTTCTGTATCTGTGAGTCTGTTTCTATTTTGTTCACTAGATTCCACATGTAAGTGAAATCATATGGTACTTGTTTTTCTCTGACTGGCTTATTTCCCTTAACATAATACTCTCCAGGTCCACCCATGCTGTTGCAAAATGTAAGATTTACTTCTTTTTTATGGCCAAGTAGTATTCCATTATGTGAATATACTACAGCTTCCTTTTTTAAAAATATATTTTTATTGATTTCAGAGAGGAAGGGAGAGGGAGAGAGAGAAACATCAATGATGAGAGAGAATCATTGATTGGCTGCTTCCTGCATGCCCCCTACTGGAGGTCCAGCCCGGAACCTGGGCATGTGCTCTTGACTGGAATCGAACCCAGGACCCTTCAGTCTTCAGGCCAACACTCTATCCACTACCACAGCTTTTTTATCCACTCATCTACTGATGGGCACTTGGGCTGCTTCCAAATCTTGGCTATTATAAATGACACTGCAATGAACATAGGGGTGCGTATATTCTTTTGAATCAGTATTTCAGTTTTCTTTGGATATATTCCCAGAAGTGGAATTGCTGGGTCCATTTTTAATTTTTTTTGCTTTCCACAGTGGCTGCACCATCTGCATTCCCACCAATAGTGTATAAGGGTTCTCCTTTTCTCTGCATCCTTGACAACACTTTTTTGTTGATTTATTGATGATAGCTATTCTTGCAGGTGTGAGGTGTTATCTCATTGTGGTTTTAACTTGCATTTCTCTGATGATTAGTGACATTGAGCATCTTTTCACATGCTTGTTGGCCATCAGTATGTCCTCTTTGAAGAAATGTCTATGCAGGTCCTTTGCCCATTTTCTTACAGTAATTGGATTGTTTGGTTTTTTGGTGTTGAGTTGTGTAAGTTCTTTATAAATTTTAAATATTGACTTATGGGAAGAATTGCTGGAGACGCAGTAGTGGTAGTGTGTCTTTAATAGCACATTCCTTATTTTACTTCTTACCCTTCAAATTATTCACAAAATTGAAAAATTTTCAAGTTAATTATGGTACTGTAGAATATTAAAAAAATATATTTTTATGTATTCAAGTTAAAATTTTAATGACTAATGATTAGGAAAATTAGCTTATGTTTGGAGTCTCCTATGTGATCCTTTGAAAATTCTTATTTTTTTTTTTTACCTTGATTCTGTTTTTCTCCTTTCTATATTCAATTGCATCCTTTTTTTTCATATTAAGGGATGACAAAGTGACATTAGAATCCAATAAATTACTTAACTCATTTTTCATGCCAGCTTTGTACAATAATGAGCTGTATCATTCACTGTGATGTTATTTCTGCTGCTAAATCTTGCTACTTTTCCTAGTTTCTTCCTTTCTTTATGGTAAGGCAGGTCAGGTGAA